ATCCCCAGATCAGTATTTGGACTTTTTAAAGCTTTTTATTTTTTTCCACTCGCCTTTGAAGTATTGAAAACTGTAAAGCATTTGGTAGGGGGAAAGGTGTAACAATACACTTTTACATAAACCTATTAGGACTAGTTTTAAAATAGACTCTATTCTCATGAGGGAGAAATGAAAGGCAAGACTTACGTAAGCCTAATCTCCTTACTTACTTGGGAATCAAAGTGCCCCAAGGTCAAAAACAGTGCAATTTACCCTCTAACCCATTTCAGAGGGCATTACATCACTAATACAGTGGAAATTGCTCTTTAGCTGGATGTGCGTTTCATTTTAAGAACTGCTGTTTATATTCTTTATGTCCTGCCTTTCATTTTATGTTGAATTTGTTTCACTTTGTAAAGATTAAGAAGAGCATGTTCTAGCTTTTAAATGTGAGAATTGAATTATTAATACGTTTTTGATAAAAAATGACCATTCATTTCTTCAAAAGCAGTACAATTCTCATGAACTTTGGACCTCACTAAAATAAAGTATCATTTGAAAGTTTTTTACAAATTCACCATTTAAAGCTTTTTATTTCCTCCTTGGTTTATGACATAGCTGTTCCTCAATGGGTAAAATGCAAGGACTGCCTGCAGTCTAATTATATTGGATTCTTTGTGCATCTCTTATATTTAGTGGGTGCTAACAATCAAATCTTGATATGAGTTTTATTCATTTTTCAAATTTAACTCATCAAGTCATGTGGCTATAGTTAGCATACACTGTGCTCACCACATTGTATAATAATGTTTTCTTCACATCTTTTTGTGCCGTACTTCATGACTAGTTCCTTAAGGGAAGATTGTCTTCCCCTATCAAACCTTGTTTAGCTCCAGGGTAATTACAGTATTGCTTTAGCCACCTTGAATTAGAAAACCCCCAGCCTAAAAGTAATTATGCTGGTTCACTCTAGTTCAAACCCACATTTTATTACAGACCCCGCTTGCTAATTTTAAAGAAATCAAAAGGACTGAATTTAGGACATTTTGTACTAAACAAATTAAGTGATATGTGATATACATTTTTTTAGTTTTTTATTATTTTTTTTAAAATTTATTCATTTATTTTATTATCATATTACTGTGCTGGGGGCACACTGTGGCATTTACAGAAGTTATTACAATGTATCATAGTTATCATTCTCCTTTATCCATAGCCCAGGCTGAAGTACAACTGGCAATCCTGCTTGCTGGGATTACAGGCATGCACCACCATGGCAATAATCTTGACATTGCAGACACACTTCTCATTCATTTTTAAATTTTTTTTCTCATTTATTCTTATGTGCATACATTGTTTGTGCCATTTCTCCCCCCTACCTCCCACCCCCTACCTCTCCCCCTGCAAAAATTTAATTTATTGTTTTGTGCTGCTGGGTTTTGAACTCAGTTCCTCATGCTTGTTAAGTCAGAGCTGTACAACTTGAGCCATACAACCAGCCCTGTTTTGCTTTGTTTATTTTTCAAGTAAGGTCTTACATTTTTGCCTGGCGATCCTCCTACCTGTGCCTCCCACATAACTGGCACCACAGACAGGCATGTTACCACACCCTGCTTACTGATTGAAATGAGGTCTCTAGCTTTTTGCCCCAGCTGTCCTGGAGCTGTGGTCCTCCCCATCTCTGCCGCCTGAATAGTTGGGGTTATAGGCATGAGCCATCATGCCTGACCTCAAATTTTTTTTTTATAGTTATTTTGGACTAAGAGAGTTTTAGTTCTCCTAGACCTCTACTATTCTTAATTAGTAAGCATCAGATCTCTGCTGAGCAGTCATCATTTCTGGTCATACAATGGGAAATCAGGTGGGTGTAGGGAAAATTGGCTACATATGGAAAGAATGCATAATAAGGAAAAGTATTTCATCTTTAAAGAACAGCTCTAATTGTTGCCTTTCCCCTTGCCTATTTGTAGATGGTTAAAGATGGTTGTATCTTTCTAGTTTTTATTTTCAAAATTGCAGTTTACATAAGAAAATGGATGTCAGGTACAGACTGGGGTATAGAATTAAAGGAAACACCACCTGCCTTGAAAAATACAGTAAACAAAAAGTTACAGGAGCATATAGAAAAGAAAACTTGTTTACTGTGATAAATATAAAGGCATTGAACAGTTAACTATCAGTTCTTTTAACACATTAGATTGCAGCCTTTTTTGTAAATAATTTTCTTCAATAATGAATTTCAGATTGATCATTTATATATATAGTATATATGTGGTGTGTATGTGCATATATGTGTGTTTTTATGTGAGTATAAAAGTAAAAGAAATATAAGTAAGTTCTGATATAGTTGAAAAATAATGTTACCTGAATCTGATGAGTTCAAATAATTTTAACAGTGTGAACTTCAGTTTCAGTACTAAAGGAAAATATATTTTTCATTGTTTTAGTTTATGCAAGAAAATAAAAAATGTAGAGCTAGAGTTGTAGGAACAAGAAAATAGAATTATATATTCATGAAAAATTATTCAAGTTTCTAGAGTATAAATTATAGGATGTTAACTATTTCTGCTCTAAAGTTGAGTGTCTGCATAGCCAGTGAATCAAACGGTAATCAGTGGTTTTGTGTTCAGACTTTAGACCTAATGAGTAAAAATGAAAAACATTTGGATATGATTAAAGAACAAAGAAACATAGAGGTGGAAAGCAACTGTTTCAGAAAATAAGGAACAGTTGGTTCACCCTAATTATAACCCTATGGATTTTTTTCTTCTGTCTTATATGTATCAATTGGAAATTCAGTGGAAAATTAACCCTCTAGTCTAATTATAGGAATAAATTCATTTCACATTTTCTAAGGTGACTTTTGGTTTCCTTAGACTGAAATCTTAATGGTCAGTTGCACTTCATGTTGGGCACAGGTCTTTTCTTTGATATAGTGTGACAGTTCTCTTTTCACTTCCTAAGACTAAGCATCTTGTATCTGACATCATCTAAGTGAGGATGTACTGCTGTATATGAGGAAATCAGGTCAATATCAAAGATTTGTCTGATTAACAGAGGATTTGCATTTGAATTAGGTTGAGCCATGCACAGGGTAACTGGCTCTAACAAAAATGATGGAGCATTTATGTATTATCTAGTGAATTTGCAGATCGTTTGTTTTTTGCAATAAAATGCTGCTTAACATCTGATTCCATTTTAAAAATAGACATATTTTAAATAATGTGGATTAGTTGCCATTTTTATTTTTACACGTGAGGGTAAATGTATTTAGGGAATAATATCTATTCTTATTCTGTGTTCATCTTATGTAGAAAGTTCCATATTTCTTTTGTAAATGCTTTACAAAGAGTGACATCCATTGACTTTATTGATAAGTGCATGTCACATGACCTTTTTGGTATCAAACGTGTTTTTTTTTCTTGTTATTTGAGGCTTTAAATACAGATACATGAGAAAAATGGAGATTTTAATGGCAAAGGCTTGTTGAAATATTGTATGGTCTTACAAGTTGCAAGTTTGATAGCTTTGCCAATGTTAATTTTTCTGTTATTTTCTAAAACCACTTGCCTCCATCTTAGCTCCCAATACACATATAGTACCTGGAGCATCAACACAAAAATATATTTAAAATATATACATATAATTGTGCACGTTTCATATATATATATATATATATATATATGTATATAGTTCTGGTGATTCTGAGTAAACAAAACTATAAAGAAGTAAGGTCATGCTGATGTGGTGCAAGTACCTATAATCTCAGCTACTTGGGAGGTTGAGATCTGGAGGATGGCAGTTGGGGAGACCCCATCTCAACAAACAAGTTGAGTTTGGTGACTCACTTTATAACCCTGGTTATTTGAGCGGCTATAGGTAGGAGGTTTGCGTATTTGAAAGATAACTAAAGCTAAAGAGTACTGGGGGTAGGCTCAAGTTTTAGAGTTCCTGCTTACCAAGCACAAGGTCTTGAGTTCAAACCATGTACCTCCTGCCCTGCCAACAGTAACAACAAAAGAAGTAAGGTCAATTGAAACCTGAAAACTTACTCAGTATTTTCTTTTTCAGTTGCTTTTTTATTATCTAGCACTAGAAGTTTGGGCCTGAATGACATAATTAATATTGTAAACTTAAGAAATACTAAGGTGATAGTATATTTTGCAGTATGAAGCATGTTTCAAATTCTGTTCCGATTTCCAGATACATGGAAATTAGAACAGTGGTGATCCCTGAGTTTTCCTTCTTTCTAAACCATCTTTTCATTCGATCATAACTTTTTCCTTTTGAAACATCTTGCCTTAGTCTTTGATTCAATTTTGGGACCCAATTTCTTATAGCAGTTCCCTTTTTATTGTTGTTATTGTTGTGCTGGGTAGGGGTACATTGTAGCACTTTATAAATGGTCTTACAATGTATCAAATATATCATACTTGAATTCACCCCTCCAATGAAAGAGAACAGTTCCTTTTAATAAGAGGAGCATATAAGAATTTCCAGGGAACTTTGAACATATGCACGTATTCAAAACCCATCATCAGAAAATCTGACTTACCTCCAGCCTTTTCTCTCTACTCCATCTGTCAAACAACCACTTATCTTCCTGGAATTTCCTCTCTTATAGCAACATTTTCCTGGATTTACCAGATAGAAATAGTCACTCTATCTTTTGCTTAGAACATTTGTATTTATTATTTTTTTAAGTGTTTCTCTTTCCCATTCAACTGTGAGTTCAGTGAAATCATGAAATTATTTTTATCATGTTTCTCTTAAATTTATGTATGAGTAAGTGATAAGTGAAACCTTGTTAAGAATTTCAATGTGCAGTGTTTTCTAAGAACATTGTTTTTGGGGTTATTATTAAGTTGAGGTTCATGATCAAGACCTTAGTTGATATATATATACATATATATATGTATATATATAGACATAATTTGATTTGTCTTAATATAGGTTCCCTTTAAATCAAACTTATAGTCAGATATTTATTTTTCTTTTCATTTTTCCTCCTGTGTCTACAGACGAAATCTCACAAAACTGTCCCTTATCTTCAGTCACATGCTGGCAGAAATTAAAGCAATCTTTCCCAGTGGTCAGTTCCAGGGAGATAACTTCCGTATCACTAAAGCAGATGCTGCCGAATTCTGGAGAAAGTTTTTTGGAGACAAGTAAGTAAAAATAATTTTTATAGTTTGTATTCATCTTAACAAGGTTACCTAATTGCTATCCTGCCTCCACTTCCATGTGGAATAGATTTTACTAGAGTATTTGGAAGTAGTATTTGAGTTTATTTTTGATAAGTATTTTGATTGATACTTGTTCTGGTGTAACCACCAAAACTATACTGTAATAGTAAAATTATTATGCCTTAATAGTTTTTGTATTAAAAAGTAGCATGAGGTTAGACAGGATTATTTATCCTATAAGAATTCGGAGTCTGTTTGCTCTGAGAGCAAAGGAACATAAAATAGTTTATACACATGAGGTGGTCATAACTTCTTATAACTTAGTGTTCACCTATCACATAATTAAGAGCTTTAAGAACTCAGAAAGTCCACTGAGTTTTGTATTAATAAGAATAGTAAGAATTGGTTGTTTAAAGTCAGTATAATTTAAAACAAAACTTTTGTTGGGCTTTTCTCAGTAGGATGATCAAGAAGTGAGCATCAGGAGACAAACAGTTTTCTCAGTAATCTTTTTTAGGGTCTCGTTAGTGAGAGAGCACCCTTGGAACGCTCTTGAATACAGTCAGCATTTTGAGTATTAAGGAGGAAGAGTGACGGCCTCTACAGAGATTGTTTTAATACTGTTAAAATTCTAAATTTATTCTGTAGCTAATGAAATTACACATATAAAATGTGTAGATATGTTTTTTGTGACTTTAGTGCTTTGACATTAGTGAAGTGTAACATTTGTTTTCCTTTTTTGTGTTTTACAAAATGTTAATAGTTACCACCATAACTAGAACATACTTACATAGAATAAAGCACATCTTAATAGATAATTTTTGGTTTCAGAAAGGTTTTCTGTTTTGTTTTTGTCCTTTAAATAGGATTTTAAGCTATGTAGCTATGTCGCCCAGGCTGTCCTTGGACTTGCTATGACGTCTAGGCTGGCTTTAAACTTGTAATCATTGTGCCTCAGCCTCCTAAGTGCATGCACCACCTTGCCTGGCTTGGTTTCAAAAATATTAAAGCCTTTATCTACTCAGGAAGTGGAGATTGAGAGGATCATGGTTCAGGGCCAGACCCTGCAAAAAGTTAGTGAGACCAAAAATTTTGCAGGGTACCATCTCAATAAATAAGCAGCATGTGCCTATAATCCCCGCTACATGGAAGGCCATAGGTAGAAGGATTGCAGTCTGTGGCTGGCCCTGGGCAAAAATGCCAGATCCTATCCAAAACATAAAGCAAAAAAGACCTGAGGGTATGGCTGAAATGGTAAGTCACCTGTCTAGCAAGCAGGTACTGAGTTCAAATTCCAGTATAGCCAAAATAAAAAACTAATTAAGGCCTTTTTTCACTTCTAAAATTAAACTGTATTCTGAATTATTTTTAGTAACTAAAGGAGACAAAAACCATTATTGCCAATAACATGAACTTTGTGTATTCTAAATGTTCTTGTTTATAATGTTCCTATATCCATTTCTGAATGAGAAGTTAAAAGTTTCATTCTTGTCTCACGTCTAAATTAGATAATGAAGGATATTCTAATGCCATATTTGTGAATGTCAGAAAGCAGAAAGGGCTTGATGAGTTCTGGAAGGATGAATGGGAGAGTTTGCAGCTCAATATTAATGGTGTAATCCCAGTGTAAACATTTGGTAACCTTCAAGATGAAATTTCCTGTAAATTTTTAAGGAAGTATATGAGACAGATTGTTCATGGTATTATATTTTTTAAAGTGAAGTTTCTGGTGAGTTATAAAATTGTTTACTTGTCATAAGGTCAGTGAGAAATAGAAAGTTGCTCACATGTTTTTCAAGACAGGAGTTCACTTTGCTGGCACCTCAAGCCACAGAGAATTATAAAATTGAAACATCTTTTATTTATTTATTTATTGTGGTACTGGGGTTTGAACTCAGGACCTCATGCTTGCTAGGTAGGAGCTCTACCACTTGAGCCACTCTGCCAGCCCTAGTTGAGATTTCTTTATTTCTCTTTATTTACAACCATAGACATTAAAGGTCTGAAATTTCTGTTGAACTGCAGTGCTACTGAAATCACTACTGCATCGAGTCGGGGAAATTTTGAAATACTGTTTAAATACTCCTCCTGTTTCCCAAATCCTTCTGCCTGTGTCTCTTGTTTTCACTGACTCCAATAAGCTACATAGTTCATCTATAACATTTTTAGTTTTGAGAGCCAGCTTCGAGTTGCTTCTAGCACTTGCACATATTTCTGTAGTTTTCCAAATTAATGATATATCTGTGAGATTGAAGAAACTATGAATTTTCACCATGTTCCATGTATTGGAATAAATAAACAAGTAAACAAATGCTGTAAATGTTCAGTGGGTTGAATTCTTTTATCTTCATTTGCTGTACCAATTTGTATTTACCTTAACTTTGTTCTTGTCTTGACGCACTCCTGTTATTTACCTCACTACACATTGATGCCTGACTAGTCTTTAACACCATTATTTTCAAAAACACAATTGTTGGGAGACTGGTTCTAAGAACAGCCACAGATTATGATATTTATAAAGTGGTTTTTAGCTTAAAATTATTACTAACTTTTTTTTGCAAAAGGGACAGAGTCAACTGTAACAAAACATCAAGATTCAATTAAGACTGGGAATAAGCTATTGTTCATAGGGCTATATAAGACTCATAAGACAATTTCAGGATTCAGACCTCATGAAAATGGGGAATAGGGAAACAACTTTAAGTGCCATATGCCTAATGCTTTATTGTTGTGCCTCCCAGTCTTTTTAAAATCATGGCAGGGCTGACTGCTCTGCCCAGGCCCTGAGTCCAGAGTTAAAGAGGGTCTGATTGCTTAGAGGCCAAAGGGGATCAATAATAAAAAATGGGTCATGACAGAGTGATTGGGAACTCCCGCATCTGTTAAACTTTTGTGCAAATTCACTTAATATTTTAATACATAAATCTTGATTTTATTTTTGTAGTCTGTTGACCGAAGATACTAGAAATAGAAAAAAGAAAGGTGGTTATTGAATATATGTGTGTAAGTAAATTATGCAAAAAGCACAGTACAATAACAAAATGAGTCTTCATTGTTTGGAAAACTGGTTTATTATCCTGAAACTTTTTAAGCAAGAGGCTCATAAAATGTATAACTAGCTGTTCAGGAAGGAAAGAAAGAGAGAAGAGGGGGAGGGAGGAAAACATTAATGTGTTTAGACTATGTGGCAGTTATTTTTCCAAGAATGAAAGGTAGCAATTGGAGATTTAGTCATAAGTTTCCAAATGAAGTATAGTTCAACAAGAACCAATGGATATTAATTCTTGAATCTTTTCTTTGTGTCTTCTCCTCCCCACTTTTACTTTAGTTTGTTTTTTCTTCAAGTTCAAGTTCAGACTCTTCCCTGAATTACTGCCAACAGTGTTCTGATTGTTATCCCTATCTTCTAGGATGTTTTTTTTTTCTGGTGGTACTGACCTTGGGCAGACACTCTACTGCAAGAGCTACTCCTCCAACCCTATACCTATCTTCTATAATGGCTCATTCAGTTGTTCTGAGACTAGTGAGCTCTCTAGAAATCAGAGCTGATCATTCTCATCTTTTATTGTAAATAGTGGTTCTGGGACAAAGTCTAAAACTCCATCAACATGACATCTGTAGGAACTGGATTTTTTGTTTGATTGGTTGTTTTGTTTTCTAATTTCATCTCTTTGTACTCAGTTCACCTTCAGAGACACACACTATTCAACACTACTCATATTTTTTCTTGCATACTTCTTTTTCCATACTTGGTTATCTTTGCTTCCCAGTCCCTTATGTCCTACTCAGCTTTCTTTGACTGCCCAATCTAAAGTGGATATCCTTACTCTGTGCTGCCAAATACCTATGCCCACATCCATCATACTGGATTATAATGAACTGCTGACATGTTCACATTTCCCATTTGAGAAATTTCCAACAGAATAGAAAGTTTCTTTGAAGGCAGATAATTCTCTTACTTTTCTGCATTGTTCAGAGCCTGCCACATTTCCTAGAATGTATAGGCAATAATAATAATTAGCAGACTGTAAACATTACTGGATGGACAGATGAACAATGTCTGTTCTCCACTCAGTTCATAATGACTTTTCCTAAGTTGATCTACCTATCATCAATTCATTTTGTTCTACTCCCTGGGTGTCTCTGTTCCCTCTTTATTTTCTTCCATCCCAGAATTTTGGCCATTTTTTCAAATTCAGTTCAGAAATCAAGTCTCCTTTTTTTGTTTCTCCTCAGTCATATACATCCTTCCTCACAGTAAACCAGTGCATTCTTTTATTCTTGTTATAGTTTAGAAATGCTTCTCTTATTGAGTGTAGATTTTCTGTGCTTGATTGTGAAGCTCTTTGATGACTTCTCACACAAAATTTAGTAAAAATAAGACATACATATTAGTTTTATTATAAATTAAACTTTGTCGCCAGTATTCTTACAAATGGTAGCTCTACTTTTGATATAATCTTTAACTGTTTTTAAATGGTTATTGAATGAGTCCTTTGAGGATTGTTTGTGCTGCAGATACTCTGCAGTTGTTGGTTGATGTATGAGTTACATATACCATTGGGTCTGCTCCTTTATGTATGTCACGTTCTTCAGCCACACTGTCATGACTCTTCTGTGATGCCTTAGCAGCTGCAGGTTTCTGTGTCTTTGCTCATACTATTTCTTCCAATTTAATGTTTTTATAATCTCTGCAAAGTCCCTAAAAGTTCATCCTCCTCATGATTTCCCCCTGTATTGTTATTATTAGACTGTTTAATTCTTAAATGTCTCTAACCTGTTGCTTATCTTCTACATTGACTATTTTCTTTGTCTTATTAAAATATTTGTGTAGTTATCTTTACATTAGTGTATAAACTTCATGAAGTCAGGTTTATTTTATTCATATTTGTATTTCTGAAGCAGCTAGCACAGTGTGCCTTATATAGACTTTCAGGAACTGTTTTCCATTTAATTCAAATGAGTTGAGATGTAGAGGGAGA